TGCACTTGCGTGCAGACTACACAACCATGAAACCCTGGGCTGACCAGGGCACTGCCTGAGTGCATTCTGCCAGTGACCAGCATAATGCCTGAGTTCTTACACTGGGATTCAAGGTTTGTGGGGATCTAATTTAGGCCATCAGGCCTTCCTGCACGTTTGTCCTCTGAGCCATCTCTTCTGTCCAACCTGTGACCTTTTCAACAGCAGCGATCACATCTTTCTTGCACCCTCCTCTGTACTGAAGTCAAACATTGGTCTAGAACTGAGAGACTTGAGTGCGCCATGGCTGTGTCTACAGGACAAGGACATTTCAGTCGAGCCTGGGATTCTAGGCTGCATCAGAGCTCTCTGCGTTTGGAGGTTGGCTGCTTCCAGCTGTCCCTGTCCCCACAAGGAACCATTCTTGAGAGGAGAGCAGCCTTCCACCTCAGAATTCCTCCTTTGTCATTGTGACTCTGGGGTGGTGTGGGAAGCCATCGGACAGGATAGTGTGGGCTCTATTTATGGAGGGCGCAATTTAAAAAGGTCTGGAGAGATGGCTCAGCAGCGTTAAAGGCTAGGCTCACAACCGAAAATGCAAGAGGTCTGGATTTCTTCCCAGGCTTTGAGTATCGGCCCCCTACTCCTTGGTAACCTACCTACCCAGTACCCTGCTGGGTCATCTGCCCCGTTGTGTTTGAAGCCATTGAGACCTGACATCTGGCTGCGTGGGGGTGGAGCTATCTTGGATCGGTCCCTAAATGGGACCCACTGTGGGCTCAAAAAGAGACAGTCACACTTGCACGCTCCTCTTCGCTGGTCGTCATCTTCTGACAGCATGCCAAGACAGACTTAGATTCTGTTTCCCGTTTTCATGGCCCTGCTCCGTCTGCCCAAAGGACTGGCTCTCCAGGTAAAACGGGAGCCAAGAGAAAACAAGCTCCTATTCGGGCAAACATTCAGGACTTGAAGTCGTCTCTTCTGTCTGTGTCTCCCTGCAAATAAGGCTGGTGTCTTTGAGCCTCCCACCTGTAGCCCTTTGCCCAGGTGGAATGGAACCAAAATGTTCCAGATGGTGGTGAGTGGGCGCATGCTGGAGGAGACTCAGAGCCGTTCCAGGGGCTGCTCAGCCTTGAGCCACCTGTCCTAGATCACACAAAGGGCGGAGCCCGCCTTATCAGCCACAGGACTGACACTGCAAAGACAGAAGTCCGCAGAGAAGCAAGAAAAGGCCAGTGACCTGTGACGTGATAAACTTAGACCCAGAGTCATTTACTAATGGAGACAGAAAATCAATGGTGTGGCCACCTTCTCCAGTCTTCGGACACTTGCAGGGGATGGAGCGGGAGTTTGGAGCTTGGAATATAGTAGCTGCTTCTTGGTGACTCCCATTTCCAGGAGAGTGGTGGAGTCCCTATCCCGAGAGGCCCTTCAGAAGATGGTAGATAATTATGGATGGGGTCTCTGGTTTGGCTGGGCTCTGTTTCACGGCAAGCAGTGGAATATGTGGTCCTTCCAAGGTCGTCCTGTCTGTCCTGGAGCAGGTTACCACCACACAAGTCAGGAGGCTGTCTCCTAATGATTGCTGGTGTGTGCTTCCTCAGCCCTTAGAGACAAAGGACCAGAAGCAACCTTGATGATTTTACTACAGACTTTGTTCCCATCTTTTCTTTCAAATGATCATAAAACCTCCAACCTCCCTCAAATCCTCCCCTTCCCCAGTCGGCAAGAGCAGTCTATTTAGCTTTTCCTGGAAATGCCAGCGTTTCTCTCTGGTTAAAAGGGGATGGGCTTCGGAGGCCTATTAACTCGGAGCATTTAGGTGAGGCTCTTAATCTGAAAAGAATGTGGTAATTAATGCTTGAGTTTAGTCAGAGCCCGAATCATCACAGACAGATTTTTTTAAGCCCCTTCTCCTTAATCAGTTTCGCCCTGATTAATTCTTTCTGTGGCTGAGTCTTGTTACATTAGACTGTCGTTGATTATTTCCACAATCAAGAGACTGACTGTACACTCATGCATTTTTAATAAAGGAGCGGCTGCATCCCCTTTCATAAGTGATCTTGCTGGCTGGCAGTTGAAGCCGCTAAAATAATTGGGGAGCGCATTTCTTACTTTCTGCGGCATTGCTTGCTGTCATCGTCATCCTCGGTGGCACAGTGGAAGAGCCCCAGAACCTGCTGTAGTCAGGGGGAGAGCTGGGTACTTAACTTGGCAGTCTTCAATGTCAAGAGCTGCTTATTCGTAGGTCACCGACTTTTAAAAAATAAACACAGGGGTAATTGGTTTGCTATAGCCTTGAAAGCTGTACTCATTGTATACTTGGTTTAAAACCTTGACTCATAGGAGGGACTCCTTCTAAAGGTTGATCCATATATCTGCCTCCACTTGTGACTGGCCCAGGTTGGCTGTCCACATTTGATTATCACTCGTGTGGTGGGGGACTCTCTCATACTTGACCTTGACACCTCTGGGAGCCTGCATGCCAGAAGTAGAGCATAGAGTAATCCAAATCCTCAACTGTTTCCTGTTCAGCTCAAGAGGAAGACAATCCCTCTAAGGGAGAAAAAAAATTCAGTTTTGGGAAAAACACTCGGCCCTAGGTTATGTGGTATGTTCAAAGCAACTCTAAAACGGAACAGTTTGAGAGAAGAGGTTATCAAGTAGCCTTGCCTGCTCGGGTAAAAGGCCACATGCCTGGAAGATAGCTCTGAAGGGATAGGTGTTCAATGCAAGCCCGAAGATCTGAGTTCGAGCCCCAAGACCCATGTAAAGGTGGAAGGTTAAAAAAAAATGATTCCACAAAACTGTCCTCTGTAATGCACATACACAGCATAGCACATGTGTGCACACATATATCCATGAGCAAACACACACACACACACACACACACACACACACAGAGGCATATGTAATAGAGTTGTTTAAAGGCCGCCCAGTTCCTGGTAGAAAGGAGCCGTTCTTCTCCTTCCTCGGAGCACAGATCGTTGGATCCTGGACTCCATGTAGGGATGTTGGGATCCAGGATCCCCTGGTCTGGGGGTTGGGTCTGCAGGTGGGAGGCAGGCTTCCAGGAGACACGATAGGAAGCCTCCAACTTGCTTTCTCCTTTGCCTACCCTAAGTCTCCAACCTTGAATATTAACCTTAAAAACAGAAGAAGACCCTGTAGTGTGCCTGGGAAGAGGGACGGGGGACAGGGTGTGATCTCCCCTGCAGCTTGTCCAGGCAAGCATGGTGGTCCTAGGGCCTCGCATTAGCTGCGGAGAGCAGGAGGCTTACAGGAGGCCAATAAAGATGGAGGCTCCAAGCCTCCCTTCAATACAACCCTTTAGTACAGTTCCTTGTGTTGTGGTGACCCTGTCTCAAAAACAAAACAACACAAAACAAAACAAACACAAAACAAAAAATACCAAAAGGAAACAAAGCCAAACAACAAAATAAAAACAAAACAAAACAAACAAAAAGAAGCTGAGATCCAAGGTGGGTAAGGGGACAGAGAGATGTTCCAAGGGGAAAGACCCTGGTTCCTAGTGTTCGAACAGGCGGTGATCTTAGCTGCTGAGAGAGAAGCAGCAAGATCCTGGGTCCCTTTCCCCAATGAAACCATAAGGACCAATCCAGCCAGAGACCAGGAGAAATCCCTTCCAAGTTCTTGTGCTGTGCCTCAGTGAGTCACCGAGATCTGAGCTTCCCTGCTAGTTCGGGGCTCGGGTTCTTCGGTTGTGTGTGGGACCCCAGGAATGTCACAGTGTAGAGAGGGCGTCAGATCTCCGTTTCCCCTGAGCTCTTCCACGGCTCTATGCAGGGAGCTGTTTTCATTCATTTTCCTCTTTGCTCCTTGTACCATTTCCTTCCCCGCATTCTCTTCCTCTAGAGCTTTTCAGTCCCTTGTCCACATCTGCATCGCAGAATTTGCCACAGGAAATACAACTAGATAGAGGGTTGGGACAATGAAAGAGACCTCTCCACCAGCCCTACCAAGTGGGGGAAAGGCTTCCTAAGCTAGAAGAAGGAGGAGGCCTTCTGGGGAAGCCTGCAGACCCACAGTTGTTTGCCAGGCTCTGGACCCCCTAGAGAACAGATACAGGTCTGAAGGCGGGGTATTAAGGAGTTCACTAGACCCAAGATGAATGATAAATGGGTGTTTTATTGGGGAACAATTTACACAGATAATAGTAAAGAACCACCCTAGCCTTCCTGATGCAGAAGATGCAGTCTCTGCCCTTCCGAGCTGATCCACCACCCAAGAGAAAGAGCACTGGGGAGAGAGCCCCGCCCTGCCCCATGCTTCTCCAATTTCCCGTCAGGTCACCTGCACACCTGAAGCCACACCCAAAGGGGTGTGGCCACTAACGCAAAATCACTGGTGAGGGGAGATGCTGCTACAAAGGCCCATCCCAAGAACCAAGCTTGACATTCCCTTAGGTAGGCTAAGCTGACTAGAGGGGCCTGAACTGCCTGGGAGAGCCAGAGAATGTGTGTAGCAACCCCCCCCAAATCAGGGCAGACACAGGGTCACATTCCTGTGTGCAGTGGTGAGCTGGGAGACCTAGGCTGGCTTTGGGGCTTCACCACAGGTGTGCTGTTTGAGCTAGGGTGGGCCTTTAACCTCTTTGGACTTTGATATCTCCCTGAAAAAGTACTGCCTCACAGGCCTGGCTAAGATAATGTATGGCAACGTGTTACTCACATAGAGGTCAGAGGACAACTTGTAGGTCCTGGGGGGTTGAACTCAGGTTATTAGAATTGGCAGTAAGCACCTTTTCCTGCTGAGCCATCTCAACAGCCCCCCACTACTTAAAACACCAACAACATAACCAACCAAACAAAACCATAGGCATCCCCAGCTCCCCTTACCAGGTCTTATGTAGGTGGACTCTGTATGTAAGTGGTCACTTCAGGTTTCTGTGTGAGGTTTTTAATCAGTCAGTTTGGACAAAGTTCTGCTGTGTAACAGATAATCTCAAGCACAAAGGTTACTTCCCACTCGTATTGCATGCCTATTATCCAGCACTATGCAATGCCCTCTATTCTAAGCGCAAGAAGCAAGAGTTTTCTGAGGACAAATCTCCCTCCGGAGGTGGGAGAGGAGAACAAGGACCCTCCTCAGTGACCCTCGTAAACCATTTGGATGTGATGCTCTCCGTATCTCTTGGCAAGTCAAGTCACGTGGCCCATTCTAACAGCACGGCTATCAGGTGGGACACTCTTGAGTGAGGACGGGCTGTGTGGAAGTATGTGATAGTTGAACTTCCTATTGTGACAAACGAAGAGAAACAACAGGAAGGGAGATTCATGGTCTCTGGGGGTTCAATGCCTGGTAGGCTTGCTCTGTGGCTTTAGGTCTGGGGTGAGGCGAAACTGTGGGGAAAGAGAGGTTGGCTCTTGGCATCATGTCGACAGGAAGCATGGAAAGGGAAGGCCCAGTATCCTTGCTCGAAGCCCATCCCCCCAGTGACATACTCCTTCCTGGGAGGCCCTCTCTAAAGTTTTTACCTCCTCCCCAAATAGGACCATCAGTTGGGGACCAAGACTTAATAACACAGGAGCCCACGGGGAGACATTTTAGATTCAAACCATAACAGGGTAGCTAGCAAATAGTTTTGAATAAATAGCATTGTCTATCCAGAGTGGTTTCAGGTTAAAACACTCCATGGCTTTTAGATGTGTTAATGGCTATGTAACAGCAAACTGTCCACAATGAAGTTTGGTATTTATTGAATCTGCATGACTCCTCTCTGCCTTCCTACATTTTGTCCATCCTTGGATGCCTGTGCCAAGTCTCACCTCATTCCTACACCCTTCTTTGCTAACTCGCCACAGGTCTTATCGCCCCTACAGTTGATTCTGGTTCTGTTGCCAGCCCCTTACAGGCTACTGTTCCATATGTGTAAGAGGGAGCTTCTTTCTTTTTTAATAATTTATTTATTCTGATTTTGTGTACATTAGTGTTTTGCCTGCATGTATGAGTGAGGGTGTCACATCTTGGAGTTACAGACGCCATGTGGGTGCTGGGAATTGAAGCCGGGTCCTCTGGAAGAGCAGCCAGTGCTCTTAACCACTGAGCCATCTCTCCATCCACAAGAGGGAATCTCATATCTCTCTCAGGAGACCCTGGGAGTCCTAGCACAAGGGCTGCATTATGCATTCCCCTGGGGATCTGTTACTTCAATCTGTTTATAGAACGTCTCGGCAAGAAGTTAGGGAGTAAAGTTAACCGTCTTGGTATTTTTAGGGAGAAGCTCTGTATGCTGATGTGATGCTTCCCACATTTACAGACAGAAGACTGAGGCTCCAAAGCGTCTGGAAGATGCTCACACAGCCCGGCATGGCCTCCCTGTCTTCAGAGTCCTCGGAAGACCTTTGTGCCTCCCCTTCCTCTCACCCCTGGACACTCTGCATGTCTAAAGCATACTGAATCTTTCCGGTGACTGCGTGGGTACATGTGTGTTCATGCGGCTGTGTGGGTGTCTTGCATGCGTGTGTATACACACGTGTTGTGAAATACTACTTTAAGATGTGTTACACTTGTCTGTGCTGTGGAATATTTGTTTAATGGTGCAAAGATGTATTGTATCCTTCCATGTTTCATTCTGTGAAGCTGTGTTACTGTGCCTGTCTAATAAAGAGCTGAACGGCAAATAGCAAGGCAGGAGAGAGGGGTAGGCGGGGCTGGTGAGCAGAGGGAATAAGTACGAGGAGAAATCTGGGAAGAGGGAGATTGAGGAGTGAGAGAAGGAGGAGGGTTGAGCAGGGCAGCCACACAGCCAGACACGGAGTAAGAAGGAAAGAAAATGTACACAGGAATAAAGAAAGATAAAAGCCCAGAGGCAAAAGACAGGTAGACTAGATAATTTAAGGAAAGACAGCTAGAACTAAGACAAACTAAGACTGGGCATTCATTAGTAATAATAAGCCTCCTTGTGTGATTTACTTGGGAGCTGGGTGGCAGGGCCCTCAAAGAGCCAAAAGAATGAAAGCAACCAACAATGCATGTGTGTGGAGATCCCAGGTCAACCTCGGGAGTTGTTCTCAGGGGTCACCCACTGTGTTTTTTGAGACAACTCCTACCACATTGGTCTAGAGCTCACTAATTAAACTAGGGTGGCTGGGACTGTACTTACCATGCCTGGATTTCCTTTTCCTTTCTTCTTTTTTTTTTGCAGTGATTCTAGGAGTTGAACTCAGGGCCTCACGCTTGCAAGGCGTGTACTTTGCCAACTAAACTGTCTCCCTAGCCCACGGATCACTTCTGAGCCTGTTTCTGCCTTTGGCTGTGATCTGTAGACCTGTGGTAAGATGAGTGATATCTGCTAGCAGGCCAGCTGCAAGGGACATGGGGATGATGGGTTGAAGACATTGCCTAAGTAAGTCCTCTAGTGAGTAACCTAGAAAGGGCAAGAAGCTGAACTCTGAGCTGTGTAGGATTTATTTATCCACCCCTAGGGTCAGTGCCATTTTTTACTGCATGCTGATAAATGCCTGGGCTAGAAATTCTAGCTTCCCTCTCTTGGTAATAAAATGGAGACTCAATTTCGAAAGGCCACAAAGAGAACGAAATGGAATATTCCCCTCCACCCCTCATCTGCAATTTTGGTTTCCAAGACAGGGTCATGACCTCTTCCTCATCAATGCTGAGGCTGCCTTACCCTCAAGACAGTATCTCTTCCTGGGGCCAACTTCCCCTTGTGCCTGGGTTCCTGCTTTGGACTATGCCACAGTGTCACTGTGTCCCCTCCAAAATTCATCTTGAGATTTAATTCCCACTGTAGAGGCAATGAGAGATGAGTGATTTAGGAGGTGAGTGGTCCCCAGGGGCTGCCTGTACTAATGGATCTGTGGACTGTGGAAGGGCTTGTGGGGGAGGGGAGGCGGGGCCGGTGAATTAGCCTCCTCTGCTCTTGCCACAGGGGACTTGGGAGCAAGGTGCTCTCTTGGACACAGATGTCAGACATTCAGCCTGCCTTGGTTGTGGAGTTCCCAGCCTCCAGAACGGTGAGAAATAAATGTCTATTGCTTATCAATTACCCAGTGTCATGAATTTTTGAAGAAACAGCACAAATGGGCGGAGGCAAACTAACAGTGGATAACTAACTCATCAGAAAATGGACCACTTCCCGTGTTGAAACGCAACAGAGAAGTCCCCTCCCCACCGCACCACAACCCTCAGTTCCCTTCTTTGACTCAGCCCCGCTGCTTCCTCTTAGCTGACAGACACCCTGTCAGCGCCATGTGTGCCCAGTTGTTCACTATGGGCTAAAGAATCATTCCAGAAGAACTTTCTCATCCTGGAAGTCCCTCTCCAGTTTCTCAGGTATGCCAGATCTTTAGCATCTCGTGTGAGAACCCTCTGAAGGCTGGGATCGCTGCTCAGTGGCAGAACATTTGCCTAGTGTGCACGAGACCCTGGCTTTGATCCCCAGCAATGGCCTCAAACGCAGAGATTTGCCGGCCTCTGCCTCCCGAGTGCTGGGATAAGAGATGTGTGCCACCAGCGCCCTGCTTATATTGCGTTTTTATTCCCTCCTTTCCACCACCGCCCTCCTTCATCTCCTCTGGCCCCGATCTTGCTGGTCCTTTTGCTCTGCCAAAACAGTCCTCACTTGTAGTATGTTACATACATGCCATTGCTCTCTTCAGTCCTCACTTCTAGTACGTTACATACATGCCGTTGCTCTCTTCAGTCCTCACTTCTAGTATGTTACATACATGCCATTGCTCTCTTCTTTCCTCTCTGCCCTCTTTTCTTATGGCTGATTTATCATCTGTTAGTCTCCATTCTACTTTCAGCACCTACACACAAATATACAGACCCTATGTATGTGTGCATGTGTGTGTGTGTATACATATATATAATATATATATTTGTTTGTTTGTTTTTGGTTTTTGAGACAGGGTTTCTCTGTATTGTTTTGGAGGCTGTCCTGGAACTCACTCTGTAGACCAGGCTGGTCTCGAGCTCACAGAGAGCCATCTGCCTGCCTCTGCCTCCCGAGTGCTGGGATTAAAGGTGTGCACCACCAAGGCCCGGCTATATATAAAATTTTAAGTCTAGAGTCCATATGTAAGAGAAAAAGATTATTTGTCTGAGTGACGTATTTCATTTAACATGATGATCTCTGGTTGCATGCGTTTTCCTGAAAATGTTGTGATTTCATTTTTTCGTTATGGTTGACAAATTTCATTGTGTAAGTGTACCACATTTTCTTAATCCATCCATCTGTTGGAGGAAATCTACGTTGACTTCGTATTTTATCGATTATGGATAGTGAAGCGATAATTCTGGGTGTGGAATAGAAACAGAACCCTTATGCAATACATCCAGGAGCGGTGATGCTATTCTGTTCCTAGTTTTTTACGGAACCCCACACTGACTCCACCAGTTTACATCGCCACAAGCAAGGGGGATTTGTTAGCCACCAGCATTTCTTCTTCCTTCCTCCCTCCCTCCCTCCCTCCCTCCCTCCCTCCCTCCCTCCCTCCCTTCCTTCCTTCCTTCCTTCCTTCCTTCCTTCCTTCCTTCCTTCCTTCCTTCCTCCCTGTTTCGTTTTGAGACAGGGTTTCTCTGTGTAGCCTTGACTGTCCTGGAACTCACTCTGTAGACCAGGCTGGCTTCAACTCAGAGATCTGCCTGCCTCTGCCTCCTGAGTGCTGGGATCAAAGACGTGCACCACCCCTGCCCTGCGTATTTCTGCTTTCGAGAAGTGTCTGTTTAGTTTATTGTTCAGAGGATGTAGTTTTGGGTGTTTAATTTTTGAGGTTCCTTATATAGTCCGGATATTAGTCCCTTGCCTGACAGAGGGTTGGCTGGGATTTGTTTTCTCGTTCCGTAGGCTGTTTCTTAACTTTTTTTTTTCTGTGAAGAAACATTTCAATTGCATATAATCCAGATTTCTCTGCATTTGGAATCAACATCCGATAATATAATTTGTTATCCTTGGGATTATTTTCTCTGTTATTATGGCCTCTATGCGAATTCCTTGCATACACCTACATCTTGAGGTATTTTCTTTCTGTTCTTTTAGTGGTTTGAAGGTTTCAGATGTCACATTGAGGTCTTTGATTCATTTTGAATAGATTTTTATGCAGGGTTGACAGATAGCACCTTCCTTCTACAGGTGAAAATTAACTTTTTTGAATACTTTACTAAAGGTACTATTTTCTTTCCAACAAATGCTTTTAACATCTTTTTTGAAAATTAGGGGGTTGTAGGGTCTGGAGAGATGGCTCAGTGATTAAGAGCAATTGCTGCTCTTCAAGAGGACTCGGGTTCAATTCCCAGCACCCTAAACTGTCTAAGTCCAGTTACAGTGAATCTGACGCCTTCTTCTGGCCTCCAAGGGCACTATATATACATGGTGCATATACAATATACATACATGAGGGCAAAATGTCCACACACATAAAATAAATCTTTTAAGAAAAGAATTAGGGGGTTACAGCTGGGTGGGTTTATTTCTGAGTTGACTACATGTCTGTTTTTGTACCTGTGTTATGTTATTTTTGTCATTTAATGAAGTGTGTGTGTGTGTGTGTGTGTGTGTGTGTGTGTGTGTGTTACATGTGAGGAAGTGGATGCCTGTGGATGCCAGAGGAGACCATCTGGTGTCCCTCTCTACTATTCTATCTCATTCTTTTTTCTTTTTAAAATTTTTTGATACAGGGTTTCTCTGTGTTTCTTTGGCTGTCCTGGCACTCACTCTGTAGACCAGGCTGGCCTCGAATTCACAGAGATCTGCCTGCCTCTGCCTCCTAAGTGCTGGGATTAAAGGTGTGCCCAGCTTGTACCTCATTCTTTTTAAGACAGACTCTCTCACAGAACTAGAAGCTGGCCCTTTGGTTAGGCTGAGTTGTTATGGAATATTCCTTCACAATGTGTCAAGATACGTCACTGTGATTGGTTTAATGAAAAGCTAAACACCCAATAGCTAGGCAGGATTTGGGGACAGAGAGAATGCGGGGAAGAAGGCGGAGTCAACAGCCAGAGGCAGAGGAAGCAGGACCTGTAGAAGATGAGGTCACAAGCCTCGAGCCCTGTGGCAGCACGTAAATTAGTAGAAATGGGTGAATTTAAGTTATAAGAGCTAGCCAAAACAACAACAACAACAACAAAAAGCCTAAGCTACCGGCTGAGCGTTCATAATTAATAAGTCTCCATGTCATCATTTGGGAGCTGGCTGGTGGGACAGAGAAAGACACACTACAAGTGGCCCCCAATGTCATGGGCACTTATTTCCACATAAGACCTAAGGCAACTTAAAAAAAGGTTCCAAACACACACAAGAGGAGGAGCCAAATGTGGCTTCCTAGTCCTGCTGTCTCACTGCCTGTGGGCTTGAGCCATCTACTCGACACGAGACGTGCTGTACGCTCATGCATACAGAAAAGCTACAGATATGCAGTAAAATGGGTTCAGATGGGGAAAAAAACTCTAGACAGGTTACACTGTGTTTAACAATATGTGTAGACTTAGGGGAAAAATGAAAAAAAGATATAGACAGTCATAAAAATAATTTTAAAAGTATAAAGTCAAGTCTTTAAAGAGAAAAGTGAAGTTATATTAAAAAATAGGGCACATAGAGATGGCAGATACACAGGGAGTCTGGATCCTGTATGGAAAATTTTTGATTGCTGATGGGCAAACAATAGCTGCTGAGAGACACCGGATTATAAAAACTACTAAATTAAATCAAACTATATATCTTAAACATGTCTTAACTTCAAAGCGTAAGTCAGAAAATGTGTTACACTGGGGAAGAGGCTATACTTTTGTTTCCACAGAAAACGAAAGGCTGTGGATTCATTCAAGGTTGGTAGAGACCAAATTTGATCAGAGAAGACTCCCTAAAAATCCTGACTACAGACATAAAGAAACGAGCCTAGAAAAATTACAAGACAGGTGATACATATTTTACCTCCTCAACATAAAACAAAAAATAATCTATGACTGGCTTGCATACAATACACAGTCCATATCCACGTTAATGTAGATACGTATGTTACTTTTGAAAGTTTGTGTTTTCACAGCAAGAGAACCAGATACCAGCGAAAACAGGTGGCCCAGGTGATGCAGCCTCTCAGAGTGCCTCTGTTGCGGCTTCCTCAAGAGTTCTGTATCCAGAACAGCTTCAAGGCTGCTGGCTGATATGATCCAGGCTCACAGACTATTCTAGCTAGGACTTGACCATTATCCTAATTTTCTCAGGGTCCCCTAAATGTGCCAGTACTCCCAGACAACAGGAAGCAGTCTATCGAACACAATGTCAACATTCCGAAGAGATGGGGTGGGTGGTTTTCAGTCATTCAGTAGATTATGAATGTTTGTCATTGTTGGCATTCAGGCATCTGCACTGGCCTGCCCTTGAGGTTCTGACAGGACACACCCTCAGCTGCAGCCACTAAGAGCACCACCTGTGCACATTCACTAGGTTCCCTTTTAAAAGAGTCCTGCCCACCTCCCATTTCTCTTCTCTCTCTGTCCCTGCTTCTCTGCTTGTCTCTGTCTCTCCTCTCTCCCTCTCTCCCCCCTCTCCCTCTCTCTTCTCTTCTGATGTTTCTGTCCCCAGAGGCTTGTCTTCCCTCTCCCCTCCTCCCTTTCCCATTCACTTTCACCTAATAAAAACCCCTCCACCCAAGCTCTGTTGCACAGCATCTTTCTCAAGCTCTCCTTTTTAAAATTACAACAGTCATTGTTTTGTGGGGTTGGTTACAAATTCTTTTTGGTCATGGAACAAAAGAGATTAGATTCAGGGATCTCATTCTGAAAAGAAAAGGGAGCTATAGAGGTGATAGGATAAAAGGGTAGATTATTGAATCTACTTTCATATTGAAACAGCAACTACTAGTCTTAAATATTTTACATTGGTATGGTTTTTTGTGTATTGATACAAACTTAATGTTACTTTTGTTAGAACATACTATGCATATGTTTTTACTCTTATTTAAGGTATTGTACCTATGCGGCTCATTAAAAATTTTAATGTAAAGCTCTAGTCCTTAAAGGCTATTATTACAAACTGTTTAAAATAATTAAGAAATGTAGGTTAATAGTCATCTATAACAATTAAATTTGTAGTCATGTTACATATGTTTTCAAGGTCAAATGGAGATATATTTTAGATAGAAAGGTGATCTTCAAACACTTCAAAGACCTACAGAACATGACATATAAAACTTTGAAAACAGACTGGAGAGGTGACTCAGCAGTTGAGAGCACTGGCTGCTCTTCCAGAGGACCTGGGTTCATTTCTCAGCCACAACTATCTGTAATTCCAGTTCCAGAAGATCTGACACCTTTGCACCAAGGCACATAAA